TAGTGTAGTGCAGCGTAGTACAGTGTAGTGTAGTGTAGTGTAGTGTAGTGTACTGTAGTTTAATGGAGTGGAGTGGAGTGGAGTGGAGTGGAGTGTAGTTTAATGGAGTGGAGTGGAGTGGAGTAGATGTCCACAGATTAATGAAGGTGTGTCTTGTTGTTTTTCTGATCATTGTTGGCTTTGACATCGTCATCTGTGCGTGTGTCACCTGTATTTGAAATGATGCTGTCCAAGTAGTAGGTGAAAGAGACTACTTCCTTCAGATTTCTCCCTTTAATGATGATTGATGCTTGTTGTTGATGCTGTTGTTCGTTGGGTATCTTCATCACCTGTGTTATTTCTACGTTCACCTGAAGGAAGTCTTCGTTGTTATCGCTGTCCTGCCTCTTCTACTAATTTGTTAGTTTTCACCTGTACATCTTCCAGTTTGGGAGACATTAGACATTGATAATAAGTATAATTGAAAGGTATGTGGAATTCAATGAACTATCGAAAAAGTGAGAATGTTTTCAGACATATTGATTACATGGAGCAATTAGTTGATTTTATTGTTGTCAGTATTTACTGATTCTCATGTGAATGATTTCTACCTGAGTAGTTGACTGATCATTTGTTAAATGACAAGAAATTATAGGAATGATGAATATTGGCTAGTATTTGAATGTGGAATACTTGTTTTATTCAATCTGTGACTGTTGATTTGGGTGTAAGTGCTTTCGGTTGAATGACTTCACGTTTTTGGAGGTAGGTATATTCGGTTGAGGAACCTTAAATGGGACGAAAGAAGCGTCTAGTTTTCTGCTGTTCGCCTTCATGCATATTTACTCCGAAAGTGATACTACTTACGGGATCTTTGTGTGCATACACATGTCTATACCGATGGTGTCGTTTCGATGAGCGTGAGATTACTGACAAATAATGACTTGTTCCAAAATGAATGAATTATTTAATAATTTGAGGCATTTCGTTGCACCAGTAGTATTTTGAATGAATCGAGCGGATGCAATCATTCAATTCAATAGATGATAATACTTCAGAAAGGCAGATGTGACTTCAGGATTATAGGAATTACTGGAAAGTTTTCACGATAGAAAAGTCGTCACTTTTCAGGAATAAAGAGAACAGGCCCGGTAACGTATTGTATTCCTTCTTACTGGTTTTATTATGGAAACCTAATCAGGCTTAAGTAGTATGAGGAAAAATTGGAGACAATGCATTCTGTGATAGAGTGTTCGAGAGTTTCACAACTGTGTGTGTGTGTGTGTGTCGATTGCAGTTTATGAGCATGCTAATAAAACCCAATGAAGTGAAAAATTAAAGAGGTAAGGAGTAAATAACTAAATACATTGGTACGTAGTGTACATGATGTTGAAATAAGATCATATCTCATCCAACGATGAGATAATGTGAAGGGACCTCATGTATAATCCTACCATCTAGAACCAACCTTATACGCCAGAATTATACTTCAAACTGGAGACTGCTACTTGAATTTCATGTTCTAAATGAGGTTGGGCACACAGTTAGTGTTGTGACCAAATATATGCGGCTTAAGTCATTGATTAAAGTAGTAGCGTAAATCGGACCAATCTATCATATCTCTTCCCAAAACATTTCCAGCCTTTCTTTGGACTTAGATAGACAACTGACCAACAGCCTAGAGATAAGTGATTTTACTGTGTAGGTGAGTATAAAGTATGAATAATTCCACATTCTTGACAAGTAGTGCAGAGTTTTTTGTACAGTTAAGACTAGCAGACAGAAATTTGTAGTACTAAGCATAACTGTTGACTACCAGTGTGATGGTGGAGGACCAGGGGACCGTGACACACATATCACCCTGATTTAAACTTGCCAACTGGTGAATTTCAATCTCAGAATATCATTCGATGAAGAAGAATGACCATATTGGCCCAAACTAATCAATAAAACAGAAAATAACATATGTTAATCTGTCAATTGAGGCCAATTACCTTGTCATTAAAATCTTACTTACAGTACGGGTTGCTCAAATAAAGCGTTAAATGTATTTTGCAGATGAATGGGGATTTTTAATTTCAAAGCAGTATTCACCCCAAGCAAAATATTGAGCCGCATCATCCTGGACCGACTAAAGGATCCTCTGGATTCAGAACTACGATCAGAACAGGCTGGTTGGATTCAGGAAGTACAAATCATATGTGGACTAAACTGCAAGGCTTCGCGTCATCAAAGAACAGAGTATAGAATGGCAGTCAACCCTCTACCTCAACTTCATTGGCTTGAAAAGGCTTTCGACAGCGTCGACCGAGAAGTAATTTGACAGGCAGCTGCTTCAACACTACAGAATACCACAAACCTTTATCAATCTCATTCAACAGCTAAGCTATATGAAGACGACACATGCCATGTAATTCACAATAGGAAGCTCAGTGATGCCTTTGAAGTGCAGTGAAGACAGAAGTGAGACAAGACAAGGCTGCTGTCTAATATCACCATCGATCATCTTCCTGATTGTGGTTGACTGGATCATGCAACAAACAGTGAGGAGTGGGAAGAGGTGAGGGAATACGCTGACTGGATTGGGGAAAATATCCTAGAAGATTTGGATTTCGCCGATCACTTATATCTAATGTCTCACAAACTCGAAGATGTACAGGCGAAAGTGACAAGTTGAGAGAAGAGGCGAGGCAGCGAAAACGCGACTTCAAGTGAACGTAGAGAAGACAGAGGTGATGAAGATACCCAACCAACCAAGCAACCAAGCAACAAAAGCAACAACAAACACGAATGACCATGAATGGGAGAAACTTGAACGAAGTAGCCTGTTCACTCATCTAGGCAGGGCAGTACTGTTTCAAATACAGACGGTGGCACAGGCACAGACGAGGATGTCAAAGCCAGCCAGGATAGGAAAGGCAGCAAGACAGGCGTTCACTAACCTGAAACCATTGTGGAGATCTTGTGCACTGCACTCAGCATAAAGCGTGAACAACATCTGGATTTTCAACACCAACTCAGTCAAGTAAGTCAGTGCTTGTTTGTATGTGCTGGTTGAGAGAGTTGGCGCGTCACGAAAGGGATTTCCAACAAACTACACACATTCATCAAAACTGCTGCTTACGCTCACTCGTCATTGATGAGATGACCAGAATAATAAGAATAAGCAACAAGGAACTCTGGGTGGGTGGCTGGCTAGCTGGCTGGCAACGAACCAACCAAGAAGTTATCGCTCAACAAATATGCACTGGAAGGAAGTGGACATGGATTGAGCATACACTGAGAAGACCTTTGGGTGACATCACGCACCAGGCCAGGCACTCGAGTGGAACCCAGATGATAAATGAGTTGGGCGTCCCAGCTGAGGGTGACATGGAGGAGATGTGTGAGGAAGAAATGACAGCTTGTCGGCTGTCGTGGAGTCAGCTTGAAAAGATTGTGGAGAACACGGTGGAATGGAGACGTGCTACTGAATCCCTATGTTCCACTAGGAACCGAAGCGCAAAAAGAAAAATAATAATTCTTTGTAACGTAAATAGTTTGAAGCTTTTGTGGTTGCAGTTGACCTGTTCAGACAAGTTACTGTGGTATATGAGCCTTTCCTTGAAAACGTCTATGTTGTATAACTTACGTAACTTCTTGCAGCTTGATGTGCACCACTGATATCATGCTCTCTTTTCCCCCATGTACTTCCCTTCGAGTTAAACGTATCATCCCAGGAGGGTTTGAGTTACCATCATTTGCTTACTTATGGAACAAACTTTTCGAAATCTTAACAGATCCAATCTACGTCTATTGATATAAAGTGTCATTCTTGTGGTCATGGAGGGTCCACCTTTTGGTAACAGACAGAAATCAATTTCAAACTTCTCACTGGCCTTAGTAACTGTAATTTCTTCAATAAAATGCTTAACAGCTAAAACTTTAATCAATCAGGCTAGCTGATAGAGATTTATCGTTTTCTACAGACACCAAGTAAAGTCAGCCTATATAAAAATCAACAGTATGATCTCAATTGTTGATTCTACGTGAAATTCAAGTGAGCACCTGGTCTGGTATAAACACATATCCACCCTACACTGAAATAAAAATTGATCATAAAGTTGTGTAATTAAGGGAAAACTAGGTCCTATATAGTTGGTTCTTCTTGTGGCTGGGTCAGTAAAGTTTCTGCTCAATATTTCAAATGCTAGAAGTTGTAATGCAGTGGTATCATCCTATATTCACTTCCTCAAATCACTAGCTATCGTCACCGTATATAGTCTAATTGTGTATTCATAACCGATAATTCTAATTCTAATATTCACCTTCTACACACAGGCTTTACATTCCGAAGTTGTGGACCTCTTAAAATGTGTAATATTGTAGTGCTGACAGAGTTGTGAGGGCGTTTGACACTTCCCAGCTGCCTGCACCGTAGAAGGCTATTTCTTCTTAAGGTACCTGAAAGGGATTTATGTGACCACAGAGCCCATTGGACATCTGCTTAAGGCCTGTCACACTCAGCCTTTTGTGTACGATTATTTTGATTTTTGTTGTTTTGGGGCCGGATGGTAGAAAAGAAACGACAAATGAACCAACACCGCCGGCCCAGCAGACCGTGGGGCATGGTGGAGTGTGTTCTTTAGGGGGCTGACCTTTTCTAATCCTCACCCCACCCCCGTTCCACTGAGAAGGCAGCATCAGCGTAACACTGCTGGTCATCCAAGGGAAACACCTCACTGCTGTCAAACCCCATCCAGCTAACAGCAGTACAAGTTCGCCCTCAGACCCACATCCTAGTGTAGTAGTTTACACCACAACTATACCTGGTTTTCGTCTAACCACTATCCAACAGACCTTTCTGGTATGGTAGGACCTCGATGGAACAAGTGTTCCATCAGGATAGCTGGTTGGGTCATTGTGATCTGCAAGCTCGACCAACGCATCAAGGTAGCAGCTATCGATCGAGAGGGATTTCTGTCTGATCTGATTACATCACATAACTGCGCACCTGACAATTTAAAAATACAAAACTAAAATCACCAAGGACATAGAATTGTATATTTGTATAAAACAGTACTAGTTTAAAGGATGAAACACAAATAGTAGTGAGACAGTGAAAAAATAATGTTGCATAAGTTTTTCTTTACTACCGGGAATTCATGCTATAACAGCTACAATATGAAGATCACGACATAAATATGATTAGGTTAATCTAATGAAAAGTATTTCTTCCTATTGTCAATAATATGGTGGACATGGGAGTCATATAAACTGGACATTATACACCAATGAATGACAACATGCTTGATTGAAATGAGATCAGAGAAGTGAAGTTTAGTCATGAAACCATTATCGTCACTGAGGAATTGGAAGATAAATGACTAGTTTGTTTGCCGTATATATGATTGATTCGAGCTAAAAATGGATGTTTCAACAATGATTCTGTTGAAGCTCGTCGTTTAGGACACCGACATATGCATACAAGCAGAAAGTCTTTCGCTTTAGGTGATAGAACAGGCTTGTTGTTTTCCATTTGCATGATTCTCCTACCTTTAAACACTTTCAATGGATTTAACGAATGATAAAGTCTTTTGGTGTCTTCACGTGGATGGAAATCATATTCTGATCTATTGGTAGACTGAGGATAATTCGGCACAGAAGAATCGCACATCCATGGGTTTTCGAAAGGAAACCGTCGGCACAAAAGAACGAAAGCAGTACAACCAATAGACCACACCTCAGAGGCAGGAGTCCATGGTTGTCTTTTAATTAAAACTTCAGGTGGAGCATAGTCTGGAGTGCATCCAGGAGGACCAAGGATTTTGTTTCCTGGTCGGATTTCTGAAGCAAGATTAAAGTCAATCAGTTTAAGACGGTAATTAATTCGGTCAAAGAATATATTATCCGGCTTTATATCACAGTGGACAATATTACAGCCATGAATTTCGATAACTGTTAGGATTAGTTCTCTCAGAATCCATGCGACAGTTTTTTCATCTAGCGACGTATTACAGCGGCCAAGTTCATGTGCAAGATTCACATAACCATGCGCTTCAAGATCTTCAAGTACAATAATCCACCTGTCATTCTCTTCATCATTAATAAAGTCTAACATTCGAACACAATTCTTAATATGTTGAAGCCTTTCGAGAAATACAAATTCATTTGGAACATAGAAATCAATATCTCTACTGCCATCTTGATGAAAAGTTAGTAATTCAGGTGTCATACTGGACTTGTTGAAAACTTTGAGAATAACATTTTCTTGGTTTTCTTTGTGCACTGCCCGGTAAACGGCTGTAGTGGAGTTCTCATCAATTTGTTGGACAATAGTATATAAAGAATCCATGGAAATGTCTCAATATTTTGATAAAGTACGACTGAAAACCAAAAGATTCTAAAGAAGGCTAACTGTATTGTGATTATTCTTTTAAAAGCGTGTGCAAAAAGAACGTCCACCATTTTAGTAAGTTATAACAAATAGCTCCCAGTTTTTCTGGAATAAAGTTAGGAGGGTAGTTAAATATCCTTTTTGGCATTCATAGTGTAGAGCACCAATCACACTTATAAAGTACCAACAAACGCTGCAGACATTTTGCGGACCAGTAGAGAGCTCAATAATACGAGTAGATGAATCTTGTAGTTTTTGGACTTTCGACTCTAGGTCTTGAGGATCAGTTAGTTTAGTTTAGTTTTAATCCTTCATTGGTCACAGAAGTCTTTCCACCCTAATTGTTTTTAGGTTTGGAGGTGGCGATTGTGTATTTGAAGGCTTTCTTTTGCAAGTTCTAATCTAGTTTGTTTGATGGAGCAAAATCCAACAACCAACATCAATAGTGCGAGTAGAGGACACTTGCAGTTTCTGAGCTCTCTTTTCTAGGTCTTCAGGCTTGGTTCTTTTTGTTCGGTCGTACTCCTTCGATGGTCGCAGAGGTCTTTACGTTTTCCTACTTATAGCTTTTAAGGTATTGTTTGCCTATTTGAAGGTGTTTTATCCGCAAATTGCATCTTGGTTTGTTTAGGGGGGCAGCGGAGCTGGTGATAAGATCAATCAACCGTTCGCGATTCCTATTGTTGTAGGCACCTGAAAGTAAGTCTTAAGCGTTATTTGAATAGTGATAGAAATGGGGTGGGTGGGGAGTGAGAAAAGAAGAAGTGAAAAGTACTTTTAAAAAGATACATGTGACTGGTATTATTATAGAAGAGAGGTGCGTCTCACTGCAGATACTCGGGTTGGAAAACACAAGGGGAATACGGAGGTGGAAGGGCGTATCATCGGTTACTACTAACAAATGTTCGTGGCAAGCCATTTGCGTTCACATACTCATCCAGTAGCCGTCTGAAGGAGTTGACTGATGTAGCTGTGACCACTTCTTTCGGCAGCGCCTTCCATAAGGCACATACTCTGTGGGAGAAGTTAGATCTCACCCTAGTCTTTGCCCCATGGTGGGGTGTGCAAGTGGGGTTTTCACGGGGTTGTCGGTTTTAGACCGATAATGTTGTCCTATTCGGGTGGTCCACCTGATGAATGACCTTGTAGGCTGTTATCAGATCATCTCGTTTTCTTCGATAGCTTAGTGTGAACAGGTTGAGTTGTCTGAGGCGTTGTGTATATGTTTTGCCTGTTAATCCAACAACCGACTTTGTTGCTTTCCTTGTACCTTCTCGAGAGGAGAGGCTACCGTGTTGAACACCTCTGGGTGTGGTCTAACGTAGGTTTCAGATACCATGAGGGATAACCCACGGGTTAACAATCCAAGTTGCCCCCATAGAAAGTGCATAATGGCGTTCTCCTTTGCTGCCATCCCCTTATAAATACCAGTAGTATCCAGTGTGTCAGAGAAGTTCAGTCCCAGGTCCCTCTCTGTGGATACCTTGGTGATTGCACGCTTGTTAAGAGAGTAGTTGACTTTCATCGTCTCTGGTGTGCGAAGATAAATCACCTTGCACTTCTCCAAATTAAAGCTTAAGCCGTTTGCAACTGACCAGGACTCCAGCTGCAACAAGTCGTTTTGGAGCATTCTAGGATCCTCTCCGTCGCCTATCGTCCTTCACATTTTGATGTTGTCGGCGAACAGAAGGATAGATGAGGAGATTTTAGCGGGGAGGTCGTTTATAAATAATAAAAATAGGGGTGATCCAAGGATCGCTCCTTGAGAAACTCCTGTTCTTGCTTTCCTCCAGGTTGATCGAATTCCGTTTACTTTGGTCCAGAATTCTCCATCCTCTAGGTATGCTGTAACCCACGCTAAGAGTGGTTCAGTGATACCCACTTTCACTAGTTTGGCGAGCATAATGCGGTGTGGGACGGTATCAAAAGCTTTGGCCAAGTCCAAGAAGATAGCGTGAACTGGTTGTTTGTTGTCGCGTCTGGTAGTCCAGTCATCCCAAGCGGTCATCAAGTTTGTGGCACATGACCGCCCGGTTCTGAAGCCATGCTGGGTGGGATGGATAATGTTGTCTCTGTTTAGGTAGTCCCAAACAACATCTGCAACCAGACTTTCCAGTACCTTGGAAAGTGTGGGGAGTTATGCTATTGGTCTGTAGTTACGTGGGTTCTCTCGGTCTCCTCCCTTGAAGATTGGTGAGAGGATGGCGCGTTTCCATTCTTTGGGGAATTGACTTACTTCCAGCGAGTGCGTGAACAGGTTGCATATGGGCATGCTTAGCACTTCAGCACAGTTCCGTAGGACAACCGGTTTTGTGTTGTCACAGCCTGGGGATTTCCCCATTCTCAGCGTTGGAAGTTTAGCAAACACTTGGCTTGATGAAATCTTCACGTTCATCAGCTTTGTATCGCAGTCCTGAGACTTCGTTACATTGCTAGATGTTGGCAGTGGAAGTATAACTGGGTTGAGTTGCCCGTCAAATGGACTGCTCGACAATTCCGCTATCTCACTGCTGTTCAAGGGTTCTCCGGCCGGCCCGGCGATCAGGTTTAAGCCCTTATTCGCCGGTTGGCGTTGTGACATAAACCGATACAGACTTTTCGGGTTGCAGCCTAACTGTTCAGCCAGGTTGCTTTGCTATGTATACCTGTCATTACGAATTCTTATGTTACACAAGTTTCGTAAGGTCTTGTAGCTATGACGGTCTGATTCTTTGCGTGATGTACGCCTCCGGTACCATGCCTTCTTTTTCCCCTCTTTTTGTCCTCGGGTTGCGCGAGTTACCCAAGACCATTTGAGAGGTGGCCGTCTGGTTAATCTTGGAACACTTTTCAATAGCGCTCCAGATAATATGTTTAATCTGTATCCAGTGTTCGGCTATCGATAATGAGTCTCATTCTTGCGGCCATGCAGCTTCCGGGTATTCGCTGTTCATGAGGTAGTAGTCTGCTCTTCGGTAACGGCGGAACGCTTCTGGCTCAACTATTGGTAGTGTTTCTCTGGTTATCAGAGAGAATCGCTTTTACCTAAGGGGGGGTGGACACAGATTTCGTCCACCGTCTGTTAGAACGTGGTCGAGGGGTGATCCTTTTCCATCTGGTCTCCATCTGGTATCTTCCCCAACCTTCTCTATTAATCCTGCTGCCATGGACGTAGTTCGAAGTTTGTGTTCAAAAGATTTACGCCCACATCTTCACATCCGGGGTTAAGTGCCGGTGTGTTGAAGTCTCCAGTGAGGACTGCATGGTCATAGGCTGCCGAGGTGGTTATTGCGATGGCACTGAGCAATTGTGCCTCATACTCTGTCGTACAAAGGGGAGGCTTATATACTACTCCCACCTGGTACTTGGTTTGGTTTTTGGTAAAATAGCACCGTAAGGAGTCTGGCAGTAAGCCGAACACACCGTCAGTCACCTGGACTTTTAGATGAATGCTAGAATATATGGCAACTCCCTACTGGACTGGCAGACCCCCGTTTTTGGCCCCTCTTGGTATCCTGCTGCTGCCATGGCAGTATTGTTTATTGCGCCTACAGGTAGCTGACTAGCTAATTCTTTCCTGACTAGTACTGCTTATAGCGTTCTCGGAGGTTGCCTCTTATTTTCTAGTCTGGTAGCTGGTGGTTTACTCTTACATCATCGTATAGAACCTCCTATATGGTCTTTCCCAAGGTACCATGACGTGAGAGCTTCTGTTAGTGACGCTTTGCAGCCAAAGCGTACAGCTAGCAATCCTGGTGAGGAGATGCTCTGCAAGTGCATAGGTCTTGGTAACCTACTTACGCTGCTGGGAGGTAAATTTCCAAGTCCCGTTTTTGCTGTCAACCACCCGTGCCGTTTGACAACACGAGTGTAATTAACAAACTTCGTGGGTTCACCCTCCAGTTTGGGTATTCCTTGCACCACCATGGTTGCAGCTCTGCGCAGGTCACTAAGCGGGGACTTCCTCCCTGCCTCTTGGGTGACTTACGGTTTGTCTAGCTTCGCCCGTATGGGACAGGAGCCCGCGATGTCTGGTTGGCGCGACAGCAGTAGTAAGTTCCCCGACTGTTTCGCCGTCATTGCTGATACCCTGACTGGCGTCTCCACTTCTCCGGGAGAGCCGGCATAAGTTGGCTACCATGGTTTCTATTCCCAACTTTCTGCAGTAGTCATCCCACTTCTCCTTGTCAGACTGTTCTCTTTTTTCTAAGAGCGAGTCTGCTGGTGTAGGGACGTTGAACAGAATGATGGAATCTGTTCTCTTGTCCTGTAAGTGTGGAATATCGGGCTTGGTAGCCAGTGCTTCTGGTCTACCCCTCACCCTATTCACTTCCGTCCATTCGTCCTCAGAGCAACCCATTTCCTCAGGTTGTTCAGTCCCGTTGGATTGTCTGGGTGGCGGTAATACATGAGAGGACTTTCTTGATTTCTCACTTGGAGTGAAAGCCAATTTTTCCTGCCTTTAGCTGTGGCATTTTTGCACACATGTGGAGCCAGACCGCGTCCTGAGGGAAGACTGTTGGAACTCGTTCCTTGTAACATTTTTGACTGAACCAGGTTTTCCAGTTTGCCAGTGGTGATAGCCGGTGATTTCTGACACTCTGGGCATATATATCCTGTCCATTAACATGAATACTCCGTCATAAAACTGTAATACTGCCCCGGTAAACCATTATCACAGTTACAGTGTGCCCATCTAAGACAGATGTTGCATGCAAAGGCTTTCTGAGCCTCCATCACCGATTCTTTGCAAATACCACAGTCGTCAGAGGTTTGCTCTTTGTTGACGACGGAGTGGTTTACTTTCTGTATGGTGTTGTCAGTCGTAGCGCACTTCCCCCATGCATTATTTTCCACCAACGGTATGACTGCAGATGTGCTACTATAGGGGTTTGCCAGTTTCAACAAATGCTGTGCCCGACGTGACAGTGGTGTGGGGGATCTTAGACAGTGATTGTGCTGCTGCGTCCGTCTTTTTAGCACAGACTGGATTCTGTCCACCTGCAAACCTCATTAAACGGTTAAGGGCTTGCGATCTGGTATTTTGTACCATTATAGTCAAGTGATTTATTATACAAATAATGTAAA